GCAAGTTTCAAGAGTTCATTTTCTATATAATTGTGTATAGTGGTCAGACAACATTGTCATTTCACTTTTTTTTGCCAGAGTGAACTTTGTACGTGAGTTTCTTGTCACAATTACACTGAAAGTAAGTAGTACATGCCAACAGAGTGGATACTGCAATTTTCATTCCCATGCTCCTTTTTTGCTTAATTGTAGTTTTCAGTGGATAAAACAAATCAAGAGTTGTTTAAAGGAGATTATGCGTTATTCCTTTTCAAGTTGCCTCACCCAAGTTTTGTTCTCCCACAAATTCAGCCAGAGCACATGAGAACGCAGAGATTTCAATACAATGTATCCCAACAATCTTTCCATTCCAGACCCTCACATAGCCTTTTGTTCTTTAAAAACTCTTAAACGGATGCCAGCTACTTAGAACATTTGGCATTAAAAAGGGGTACCAAGCCTTAATTTGCACAGTGTCTAGATTAAGACTGAGATTTTACACTACAACATACCTAGCTGTCTCATCATTTCGAGCTTTATGGAACAATGACTACACCAAAGTCCAAAAAGAAGAAATTTTAATTAGAACTGCAAATTTCTCAACCCCCGCATGATAGTACAACAAATAAGCATTTCCAGAAATACCAGAAGTTAGAGCTGGCAATTAGCATTGGGAAATCCCAGCCTATCTTGGCTCTGCCTCTGACAACAGCTACATTTTCTGCTGAACTGCACAGTCAACTTTCCATTTTAAAAGACACTCCACTATTTTAATTATTCAGTATTGAAGATATTTGGAAAAAAATCCCAATTCTAATCTTCGTCTTGTCCAGTCAACAAGCTAGTAATTAGAAGAAAATTGGTCCACTGACAAATCGCAATATGCATTTTTCAGATCATCTTTGGTACTCCAGAAAATGGTTCTAAAACTTTTCAGTTTTCACTTACAAATTTATGAGAGTGAAAACAATCCAAACCACTGCATAATATGCCTTTTCTAGAGCAACAAAAAACAGTTAAAATCCAATCTACCTAAACAGATCATTTACATTCCTACATCATCCTAGTGTCATAGAGCTAGATATTTAAATGTGTGTAGGTGCCTAAAAATGTTGATGAGCATCTTGTAATATTTAAGAAGCAGGCAAAACATGTTTAGGCAAGCTTAATCTTTGCACATTTGAAAATCCACTTTGCCATCATCTGCCTGTTTAAGATTTTAGATGTTTTTGAAGGCAAGCCACAAACTGACTAGTCACTTCAGAACACACTTCAATCTCAAATATTAATAAGAGGCCTAATAAGACATCAGTAGGTCTGTTTTTGTTTTAATTGGATTATTTCAAAATCTGCTTTTCTAAGCAGAAACAGTGAAGAACTTATGTCTTACTGGGTAAAGACATTCATTCTTCATTCTGTGAATAAACTATGGACAGTCCATAAACAATTTCAGCTTTGTAGTGATAGTTCCTGGTATTACTATACCAACTTTTTCAACAGTCTCTTGCAACAATTAAAGTCGTCATCCTTTTAGGTGATCAGCTTTCAGATGTTTAGAAGGTGGTAGGTTTTGAGTCCGATAATGAGAAAAGAGATGGGGAGGGTGGAGAAAATACAGCTTTTCAGGCAGAAGAGACTTGTTGCTTTGTGAAGACACGAGTGCAATTTCTGTTGCCTACGCATTCTTCAAGTCTGCACATCCACTGCTTAGCTTCCAGTCCACTGCTTTGTTCCCACCTAGGCATCCTCTTCACAGATTCCTAGTCTACAAGCATCCTCCTGTGACTACACATCACTTTGACAATAGTCATTTGTGACAGAGCGATAAATCTCATTCCTTCTCTCCAAATACACATGTTCACATGGCAACAGTCACCCCCAGGAAAGATTTCACAGCCATTAAGTGTGTCAAGGACAAAAGATTCTCCAGTTAATGGAGCTGGCTTCACACATAGTAAATCAGTTAAGATACAGAGATAGAGCAAAAGCATGAAGTGATGAGTCACTCTTCTATTTAGGGGTGATACTCTCACCTCTCAGTTGTGGACTATATCAATTTTGCTAAATATCTGAATTAGAAGCCTTATTCCCTTGTGTGTTCCTGCAAACCCTTTTGTTGGCATGTCCACCATTATGCTTTTTGGACCAATAATCTCAAGCTGCCAGTGCTAAGCCAAGCAACAACTGCAGAAAGGGATGTCCTGCTGTTCCCCCCTACTTTCACCATTCCTCTCAGGGCTACAGTAAGATAGAGCAGAGAGTTATCCATTTGATACTCACACTACAAAGTAATTTTCCATCACTTTTTTCCTGAACTGGCTCACTACGGGGTCAAATACCCTCAAAGTGAGAAGAGTAGATACCACAAAAGAGGCAGCAGGAAAGTCTTTTTCACAAGCTGCAAGACTGGTATCACTACACACCAAAGCAATGCCTTGACACCCAGACATATGCTTGGATATCAGCAGTTATGCTCACTTTGAATTCAGCCACTCCAGAGATGCCTAGAGAGCTTTAATACATCAGTGAAATTTCCTTTGTGGTCTTCATTCAGCCTCACTGCTGGAGAAGTGTTTGTGTAATTCCCGTTTCTCATACACACCTTGAAGACTTATTTCCTACTCCTTCCAGTCCTTATTTTTTTTATGCTAACAATGAGCTTACAGAGAAGGGTACTGTTCCTTACCCCAAGACACCTTCAGTTCTAAAAAATTATACAATGATGATTTCTTCTAGAAAGGAATGAGAAAAATAGTCTGTCCATCCCTGCTGATTTTACCGTTATCTCCAGTCCAAGAGTGGTTACCATATCTTATAAATTGAGATACAAATACAACTAATTTCAATTAAAAAGACCTCCTTTTTCTCCTCAAAAATTATAGCTAAGGGCAGCTTCTAGAAAGTGAAGAGAAGGATAATTTTCCTTGCTTATCTTGCACAAAATATAGAACAGCTCCTGTTGGTTGTTTTGAATTATGCCCTTAAGGTTTGGCTTCAAAACAGAGGAAACCAGATTGTCACAGATTTAGACTGTTGTGCTCTTAGTGCAGTATATCTAAATTTTAGGTATCTGAAAAATCCTTTGTGGTCAGCTTTGTCTCCAGCCAGTAGACAGCAGTAGTATCAAAACAGCAATTACTTTCAGATGTCGCTTGATTTTGGGGAGAGGCGCACACACATTACCAAAGACAGATAAGTAAGGAATAAGTGAACCAGTGCGATTTAAAATAGTGGCTGGACTAGCCACAGAAAGATCTGGTTTCATCACGCATGTCACTTAGCCTTTGCACTAGAGAAGCAGCCCAGCCAACTAGCATAAAAGTGTGAATGAAGTCATCCTAACACACGGGCACACCTAACCTCCAAGTGTGATCATATATTAGCCAAAGGACTGTTCCCATTACTCAAGCAGATGCCTATTAAAAGTTTTACTGGTGTAGGTGAACTCAAAATAGCAGTTGCTGCCACTTGTTACAACAGGAGCAACAATGTCTGACCACAAAACTATAGCAGTTCTGAACTGAAAGGCATGTTCAGTTAGAAGAGACACTGGAGATTTGTGATATTATTTTTATTTGTTGTGAAGTGGCACAGGACACTGTGCCACTGGCTGATTCAGCCTGGTGACTAGCAAAAGCCAAACACTGCTTAAGTAGCTAAAATGTTTTGCCCTGCATCCAAAACCAGAATATTTCTAGAATATTCTAGATATTCTAGAAAACAAAGGGTGGTTGACATATTTAGCTTGTTTATAGAGGTGATCTTTTAAGAAATACCTCTTTCTAAACTGAAGTAGTAGAGCTTCCACTAGTGCGGCTGCTAGGAAGCCAATTCAGCAGCTACAACAAATGCTAACCTGTAGCTCAAAAGACTTTCTAAACAGTAACCAGCACATCTGCAGGATACACTGCAACAGTAACTCTACCTTCTTCACTATTACTGATGGCTAAAGACACACCACTCTGATGGCGTGCCATGAGACCATCTTTACATCAAAGCATACACTGAGTGCACTGTGTAATTTTATTCCTGAACATCAAAACTTCTTAAGAAGCTCTATTTTCAAACCTAAGCATCTTCAGCATCTTTATCCTACATGGCTGCTTCAGGACCCCCTGCGAATCTGGCCATGACAAGAAACACATCACTTCTTTCAAAGCAGAACAAAAATTAGGATGAAGAATGAAATGTTACATTCTTCACAGATCATGGAGTTTTGTTACAAATTCCACACAATATCTGGAAAATCAATTAAGCACAAAGTCACCTATTTCACTGGCTGCTTACTAGCAGCATGAAAACCTGGAATGAGTAGGTGTAGAAATAGAAGGACAAGAACAGGACTGGATATAGCAGTTCCACAGCTCCAGGGGAAGTACGCTTACCATACAAGTAGAAGTCTCCACTGATACTACTACTACTAGCAAGAGGCAACATATGATGTACAGCTTAATGTCTCTCTTAATGCCATTTGGACCTCCATATTTATGTCTGTCTTCTTCACTGCTCCAGCCTCATATCCACCCCTCCTATCACGCTAGAGCTGATAAATCACAGCTGCCCTAATTGCTGAGTGGGTTCCTGTATTCTTGCTGACAAAGAAACCCTGACACAGTCTGAGACATTTCGTTAAGTGCTCAAACACCACACTGATAAGAGCGGTATTATGGTTAGACAGAAATATGATTGGGTAGTAAAGTCCTTACCAGGCTTAATCCTAAACCTGGAACAAAGTTTCAGTCCGGGCACCAGCACAACGTAACTGAAGTTCTGCAGACCCTACATACATGTGTATGATTCAGTTATGGGGACCAGGGTAGTGAAATACTGTTAATTAACACAACAGAGAAGGGCCCTACAAATAGAAACAGCCTACTCCATACTGTACTCAGGTATTGCCTTTGTGCTTGGAAAAAGATTTTCTTCTCTGTAATTCATTAACCTACAAGCTTATCAAGGTAGGAGTGAAGAACTTACTTCCAGCATGGAAGCCAGCAGTCAAACTGAGCAGAAATACTTACATCACTCTTCCTGAACTTTGCTTTTAAGCTCTTCATGCTGATCACATTCAACCTTCCAAACCTTTGAGGAGCTTTTTATCCTTCTTCAATATCTAAACAAAAAAGAAAGAAAAATAAGATTCCAACTCGATACCATTCAGTTCACTGGCAGCCAAGTCTGAATTGAATTTGCATACCTATATCACCATTTGAGGATTTAGCCCTCAAGCTCTAAGAAAGATTAACAGCTAGCTAAGGAAATGTTCTGTTTCTCCAGACTTAAAAGCAAGCCTAAGTCTGACCACTGAAGAACAGAACAAACCTTTACCAAAAGCTCAAGTATGTATCACATTATACTAGCTACGTCTCTACATAATTAGATCACCAACATGTTCATGTATGAGCAGATTTCTCTGCCCAATGCTTATTTTAACCTTATCACCAGGGCAGCCATTTGTGAAGTGGCAAAAGTAAAGTCACTCATTTAAACTTCTCTTTCACCATGGGTCTGCACTGGGTAACAGAAGTACTACCACTATTGTATGCACAAGCCTAACCACTAACCAAATTCAAAATTATACTTAAACCATGCATGACACATACTAGGATAGCTCAACACAACATAGCAGATAGAGTCATCTGAGCAAGAGAGAGGTTACTCCTGGAAGAATTGTTTTAGATTCTTCCTCATAAGAAACTTTATCTGTATTCTTAGAGTCATAGCTGCTTATAACTTAGCAGTGCACTATCACAGTCATGTTCCCCCTTCCTCCCTTTCATGCAAAGAAAACCAGCAGTTGAACAAACATATAAAACTAGTGCAACAGACAAGCTGCAAACTCTCACAGAGGAATAGGGTGCCAGAGTCTGGAGCAAAGTTTTCTACAGAAAGCTTCAATTACACCACATATTGCCAATCCAGGAGAAACCTAACAGTGAAGAGCATGTTCAAGCAGCATGGCAATGTGCTTTTTCCTAGAGCACAGCAGAAAAACTTAACGAGGGAGCGACGTACATCTGGATTGGCAAATGCACCCATGTAAAAATGTTCCACATTTCTTGTCTTACAGTACACTTACTGAAAATAGTTAGTCACTTTCATCTGCAAGTTCTAGCTGCTATAGAAATTCTTTCTGAAGGAACAGTTTAAAGTAAAGGATGTTCAGCTGTATAAACTTCCTCCCTCCACCCTAGAAGGAAAGTAGAAAAAGTTTTACAAGTCTAGTCAGATAAATAAATAACTGAAATGAGGACTGGAGCATAAATTCAAATAGGTCACGCAGGGTCACTATGTTTCACATCACTCTTCAGAAACAGTAGATTACAGTTTGATAAGCAAAGTGAGACTCAATTGTTTCATAAAAGTACATCTCATTATTATGAGGCAAGCTGCTATGTAATCATCATCACTCTACTGTGAGTTTTAAAAATCCAACTATGCAGTATACTCTTAGTAGAATATATATGAATGCTTCTACAAAATACAAAGCTAAGTACCAGTCAGGAACAGCAATTAGTACTAAGTAAACACGCCATTTAGTTCACCCCATATTTATCTGATAACCAGTTAGGACAAAGTCAAGCACCTTTCTTCAAAAAAACCCCAAACAAACAAAAAATCCCATATAGTATGTACACACAAACACATTTCCCACAGGCCACACCCCTCCAATAGGTAACAACAGGTAATGTGGATGGGGTAATTCTGTAAGTTGTTAAATATCATTAAATCTAATTAAATTACTGTAAGTCTAATTAAGCAGTCATTCTGAAGTCATGTCAGATTCTTGACTGATTCCAGGCATATGAACGAGGGGTTTCTTCCAAAGTTCTCGCATTTAATCACAAGGAGAATGGGCCTGTGGCATTTTGTTTAATTCTTTAGCATGCAAAAGGAAAAAAGGAAAATAGATTTTGCAACTTTTCACTCCCTGACTTAAGTGACAATTTCTTAGCTCCTTCTTGGGCTGAGTGGTGTATTTGTAAAACAGTAACAAATAATAAAAAAAAAATTTAACAATCAAAAAGAAGGAATTACTTCATGTTGCCCTGAGAGAAGCATACTGCTTTATTTCTGCTACACCTACTCAAACTTTGGAGGAAGTGTTTAAATTGCACAACAGCTGTCACAACCTGCACTGGAAAGGAGCCTGAACCTCAGCAAGAGACTAATAATCTCCTAAATCATCCTCTAGTAACACTAAGGATGATGAGAACTGCAAAGACCAGAAATGCCAGAGTACAGACAAGGCAAATACCATTACTTGTCTGGATTTCTTTACATACAACATGAAAAAAAAAAGAGAGAGAGAGAGAGAAAATGTAGGACAAAACCCCAAGCTGTTTTTAAAACTTTTGTGAAAAACAAAAAACCCTGACAATTTAAAGGAACTTTAAAGATGTGAAACATTATGTAATATCCCATGAAATCCAAAATTTAACAGGACTTTTTATTTTAAAATTTGAATATATTTGACTAAAAAAAGTGAACTGTTTAGTCAGACCAGTTAATAAAATATAAAGAAATCCTATGCGTGGGCAATTGAAAACAAGAAATCTTTCCTCACATACAGATTGCCAAAGAATTGTCTGCTGTAGGCTTTCTCCTTCCTACCCCCTCACCATTTTTGTCTCCTATGGATGAAAGATTTGTTATCACTCCCAAGGAAGAAAAAATACCCAACTACAAGGCTCGGGGAGAGATGACAACTCCTTGTAGGTATACACAAAGAACAGCTGCAAAGCTGGGTTCTCTTCTCTGAGGAACTGGTAATAGAGTCTAACTAACAAGATTTGCAAGCACTCCCAATAGTTTTCCCCCTTTTGAGGATGGAAGAAGTGTTTCTATCAGAAGACAACTTGTTTTTCCCACAGGATACTTCACCTCTTGCCTAAGTGCATTTTATACACTGAATGTGAAACTCAAATCTTCAGCATAATTAAAAAAGCATGCACAAGCACACAAAACCAGCATTCCCAAGCTTAGTGTGTGTCACATCTGTGCTTATCCCATAAGAAAAAGTAAACACAAATATTAATATTACAGTTTAAGCATTATAATGCCCATAATCCTTCAACTGTAGAGACAGAAATGCGTGGAGAGGGCTACCTTTTCTTGGCACTGTTTAAAGGAGGAAGTCACCCCTCACAGGGTGTAATTATTGGAATTTATGCAAAAAGAGGTCAGCATCCTGATTAAGCAGAGCTTTATGACAACTTCATTTGCCAGAGGGGGGATAAAAGGAAGCGCCATTAATACCCTTGATAGGAAGTGACTACTAGAAATTCACTAGGGAGCATGAAGACACTTCAAAACAGTATTTCTGCAATGAATCACAGGTATTAACAAGAAGCATTCTCTACTAATAGTGGCATTTCTCTGCTTTCAGAACAAATGTGGTAATAAATACTGAGCGCTGTCATTTTATAGCTGCAGCAAGTTAGTAGCAGAAAAGTGCTTAACTCCAGGGATACTCAACAGCTAATGCCGATCATGTGCTTTTAACCATTAGATCCAAAATTAAATATCTAGTCCTCCATCTCATCTTCCTTTAGCTTAATGCTAAGAAATGCCCTTGAGGAATACAAGCCACAATAACATCTTTAGGTTGGTGGTAAACCTATCTAGTTCAAACAAGAGACATTGAAGTGGTGGTAATCTTTGGCCTCAATAATTTCACTGTGACTGTGTTTTAATACACAATACAATCTTTAGGTTTAAACGTAGGCAACAGATTAGGATAATCTTCCCCACTGATTTACAGCGAGATTTGTGGAAACCACAGTAAACAACAATACTGATATTTTTTCCCTTTCATGAAATTGCATTAAAATCAGAGTAAGACTTTTCAAACAATGTTACAATTAACTCCTTGAACAGTCAAAGATCCAGTGATGCAACAGTGAAAAGCCGTAGTTTCACTAAGTAGGACTACAAGTTTACAGTAAAACCATATATAAATCCCATTAATGAGAGTCATGCTAATGAGAGTCACCTTTAATGATTGATAAGTGTTGAATTCAATTAATTTAGGTGTCAAAAATCTTGCATCTCTTTCAGAACACCCAGAGAATCCTCCATCTCACACAAAGCAATTCCACAGAAATGCGCAACTCACGTTGTCAACTAATTTCCCCTTCCCCTCCCAAAAATACTTCAAAAAACTTTTTTAACCCTGAGAGGTTACAGAAAATATTTACAGACTCCATGTCAGATCTGGCAACATACATGGGGGGAAGGGGAAATGAAAAAAGGGTCCGGAATGCAAAAGAGTCCTGTTGACGATAGACACTTAAAACCTCCTTTGTATGAACACACCTACTCACGGGGAAAAATAAGGGGCCCCAGAAGCGTCTTCCCCCAAAGAACAACATCATCATTATTCTCTGGATGATCACTTTGTAAATCACAAGCCCTGCTCTGACCCGGAAACACAAGCCTAGCAGCAGCCAGCACTGCAGTGCAGCCAGAGGCATTGACACTAATGTATCCCTTCTACTGCTCACCTTCACTACCCAACTTCACAAATGCTTCCCGTGCCTGAGCTCCCCTGACCTACCATTCAATGCTATGAAGGTGCTCCAACCTAAGCTCTTCCTTAGCACTACCAAAGCCACAGTACTGCCTGGAGGCATTACCCATTGCCCAGCCTCTTCGATTGTTTCCACACGAAGGCGGCAACCCCACTGTCCTAAAAAAAATATCCACCAAACAGTTTACCTCTGACTACCTTCCTATTTCCATCCAGCTGAGCATATTCTTCCACTTCTCAGGCCAAATCAGAGAAGCATGTATGATGTGACCAAAAGCAACAGGAACATTTCCCCGCTCTTTATCAGCACAGCTCGGTTTTTCCATCTTGAGTAACCCACCCTACCATAGGAAAAGTCAAATAGAACAGAATTTTTTAAACTCAATGTCACCTATAAAGACAAATAATTCTTGGCTTGGTTAATCCACTATTACTTACTAATGAAAACACACTGAAAAATGCACTGAGAAGCCCAAGCACTACACAAGAGTGGGAGTGATTTATATACAGTTAATCTCACTCTAAATAGAATCAGACATCAGAGATAGCAAGGGCCTTGGGTAACTTAGTACAATCCCACT